ACCTTAATTTCGTCGAGCAACTGATTGGCTGCCGCATGCCAACTTGGCAACTTGGTACCAAAACATTTTTGGTTGGACTCGATCAACGGACACACATGACGCCACGTGTCTCGAACCCATTACTCGACGGATAATCCCCTAAACCCACAACCCTTATTACTCACCTCGAACAAAACTATTCAACCCAATTTAAGCCCTTTGGCAGTGCACCAGCTGACGAACTGAGACAAACCCCAAAAAAAAAAAAGGGTTTTCCTTTTCTCTTCATTTAAGTTTCAGATCAAATCACAGCCGTCCAAAACAGCAGCAGGGCTATAATTGGACGTACGTTTTTTACCCCATTTGCATGGAAGAGAAAACCCAAAAGGAAAAAACGGGCAGAAACCCTCCCATTGGCTCCCCCCTCAGCTGTCGTACGGCTTGTTTCTTGTCTTCTCTCTGTTCTGCAGTAACTCTGCAAAACTTCACCTGTCTACTTGTCCTCTTTCTCAAATCAAAATCCCATAAGAAGGGTTGCATAAACTGGATCTAAAGGAAAGATCTTTTGATGGAAGCAAACGCAGGGAGATTGTTTTATATTAATAGCCCAACAGTACCATCATCACTGTGACCTTATGTATACCAGAACCCTCAGCCTGGGTTCCTGAGCTGAGAATCTAAACTTGTGAGCAGAAGATCAACTTGCGGCAACCCATTTTCTCGAATTTTACAGAAATTTAGGGTTTGGGGGAAATATGACACAATAAGATTTTAACTCTAGCCACCAGTACTGTGTCAGAAGTCAAGGAAGGAACTGCAAAATCGCGTGGTGACGTGACCAAAGATTCTGTTTTTTGCTAAAGAACCCGCCTTTACTCCTTAACTGAAAACCACTCCCCAAAAATGGTCAGCCTGCTGATTTATGAACCCTAACCTAAACCCAGTTACCCTCTCCCGGGGAAAAGTGGAAAAAAAGTACCTTTTCTTATTTTGCTTTCTGGGTATCTGAGTTCTGATTGGTGGGTAATGGGAGAGAGAGGAAGAAAGAAAGAATATGAAGATCTTTGTGTTGGGTTGGGTTGCTTGATTTTGAGGATGGATTACCTCATTCCCCAAACAATCTTAAATGACACAAATACTAGATTACACGAAGCCCTAATTTGGGAGGGTTTTTTTTCTTTTTAATTCCCTCAGTCTGAGCTTTTGACTGCAAGGAAAAGATTGGGGGCTTTCTATCACTTCACACTTCTCTTCTCCCCACGTGGGTCTAAACTAAAAATGGGATTTGGGGGGTGATATCCTCCTACGTGTGGATCAACAGAGAACTAAACAAATAAAAATTACCAAAACAATGTTTGTGAAGCTACCCGGTACGGTTTCGTAATGACGATTTGGACATACGTTATAATAGTGTAAAATGAGTCTTAGCAACCTGATTTTATTTGTACAATTCTAAAAATCTCGCTAAATTCTCGTGATAGGGCAGAAATTTGACAACTTCTCTACACATTGTTGACTGCAAGATTCAAATTCGACTCCTCGGTATAGTAGTTTGATCGTGTTCATTCGTAACCAATGGTAGTGTTGGACCATTGGTTTTACAATTTTTTTGTTTTTTTATTTAGTGTCAACTATGATTTTATTTGTTTGGCTAGATTGAAACCCTAATATTGACAAGTTTCTATTTTCCCGACGAGAGTTACTGACAAGGGTTTGCTCCTTCTTTCATTTTTTTACCATTGACATGATTCTGTACTTCCTTTTTCTTCTACCTCTCTTTGATGTGTGAGGGGGAAAAACTGACGTGGTATTAAGGAAGTGTCAAACAAGGCCTCACTCAAAAGGGGTTTTCCCAATCTAATGAGCATGGAAGCATGACACCATCCATAGCCTCCATTTCTTCTTCCCCTCTCTCTCTCTCTCTCTCTCTCTCTCTCTCTCTCTCTCTCTCTCTCTCTCTCTTTCACTCACAAAAGCAAAGAAAGAAAGAATGAAAGACAGTAAAGAAAGAGGTCGTCTCCATACCCTCATTTCTCTCTTAGATGACCCAACAGAAGAAGGGAACTTAAACAGAAACAGAAACATAAGTGCAGCAGCTATAGAATAAATTCTAACAGCTAGTGGGAGATGAAGATTGGAAGGGAAGAGGCTGATCTCACTCACTGACCCTTCATAGATTCCAAACCAACACCTCTTCTTCTTTTATTACACCATTTCTTTGTTTTCCCTTCTCTGTCCTTAGCACAAATTTTTACAGCACTAAAAAGTGGTAAAAAAAATAATGGTGGCTATTTTCATGTCTTACCCACACACCAGATCTACTATGTCATCTAACTGCAAACCCTCAGAATTTCACTTCTAGCTCAAACCCAATAATACCACACTTGAGCTTATAAAGGAAAAAAGGAAAGCTAAACAAGAAGACTGCAAACTAGAAAGGCAGAACTGATTGGTCTTGGTTTGGAGGTGAAAGTGGTTGGAAAAAATAAGTAGAAAGGAAAGAAAAGAAAAAAGAGAGGTTGTTCTTCTGCTTCAAATCCATCCAAGATCTGGTTCTGAAGCAACCAAAAATCAAAACTTTCACTTGCTAGGTAATAAGCCAACCTTTTCCACTTCTAACCCTCGATTTAGTTATGAAGGTAGTCATTAGAAAGGGAGGTAACAAAGCCCTTCAAGAAGAGAGCATAAAGGAAGACAAAATAACAAATGAAGGGTTTTTATTTCTTTGTTTTCATAGATTGACAGTTAATTATGTATTAAACAAGCACCAAAATGAAATTTCCCAAGATGGAGAAGGGAAGGGTATCATTATGATTTAATTTGAATTATTATTACGTACCTGTTGTTGGCATACTCATAGAGGCGGCCACGGCTGGAGAAGACAATAAGGGCAACCTCAGCATCACAAAGCACAGACAATTCATATGCCTTCTTCAGCAGACCATTCCTCCTCTTGCAGAAAGTGACCTGCCTATTGGTTGTGTTCTCGATCCGCTTGATCTCGATCTTCCCTCTCCCTATCTTCCTCGTTGGCGAATACTCCCTCGAATCGCTCTGATAACCCGCCATGGAATCTTTCCCAATTCAACTGCTGCTTGCCCTTTAAAGTCATACATCCAAGCACAAACAACAACCCCATGACTGAGTCAAATGACACAAAAAATGGAAGCCAGCAGCTAGAATCATACAAACCCACCAAAACCCATGTTGCCAAATCGCCAAAAGTTTCAAACTTTGGAGAGATTTGGATGAAAAAATAGAAGGGGAAGAAGAGTTAACTATATGCATATATGGTATAAAGGGGTTACCAAAAAGATGACAATCAGAAGCTGCTCAACACAAACTAGCTAGTTAAACCATTCCTCAAGTAACCATATGTTAAAAAAAGGGAAGTAATTAGTTTGAGTATTAGGTTGGGAATTAAGGGGGGAGAGGAGATTGCTGCAGGGTTTGGAAATGTGAAAGAGATTGGTGAAAACCCCAAAACAAGTGAAGCAATCACCTAGATTGTGAGAAATTATGTCTCAAATGTTTTAGGTAAGTTGAGATTGTTTTACCTTTTGGAGGAAAAAATGAGGAGATGAGAGCAAATAGGAATCAAGGGGATGATGGATTTGGGGAAGAAGAAGGGCAAGATTTTGGGTGGTGGGTGGGAAGGATGGGTATATGATGATAGGTAATTAAGCTTAGGGGATCTTTCTTTGCTCTATTTGGCTTAAGGGGTTGAGAGAGAGGAGAGTTTTGAGGTTTCTTCTCTCTTGCTTCTAACAATCTCTCTGTGTGTAAGGGAAGGGATATGAGAAAGAGGTGCAGAAAATGGAAGCAAAGATGGAGATAAGAGAAGAAGGGGTATTTATAAAGTGAACAATGACCTTTCATCCTCCTTACACACCCCCAAACATTGCAACACAATAATTATTTCCTTATAATAATTAGTGTTTACTGCTGTCTTGTCTATTTAGTTTAGTGTTTACTCTCTTCTAATATGATTCTTGTATTTTAGGGGTTTTTTTCCTTTTAGGATTATTATTGAGTGGTGTGTGTTGAAGAAAAATAGGCTTGAAAAGGTCCAAAAGCTGGATACTGCTTCCTCTGTTACTAGGGCATCAGACTTAGAGTTGGAGCTATTCCACCATTTACGCATAATTTTCACGCAATATTAATAATTGTTCATGTAGAATATTCATTTATATTCGCTTATATTCGTACACATTTATTAATCTTATAGTTAAATAGAGTGGTTTTTTCACTCATGGTTATAAATTGTGTGAAAAATAGATTGTGTGCGTCAATATAAGCAAATTTGTGTGAATAATTAATAACATTGTATAAAAATATAGGTTTTTAGCAAAATTATGGATGTCTCCTCCCTAGTTCAAGGTCTACTAGATGTTAATAATAATAGTTAAAAGTGGAAAATGTATTGGATTAGTGAATTCATGAATTGATTAAATTAATTCTTGGATTATTGAATTGGATTCATGGATTCAAGTGTCATCAAAATTTTGGATCATTATGAAATTTATGAAAATTTTAGGTACTAAAATATCATTAAAAAAGGTACTAAATAGTACTTTCCAAAAAATATTTGTTCATAAAAAGTTAAAGTTTAGGTATCAAAATATAAAAACATATAGGTACTAAACTATAATTTTTGAACAATCCATAACCAATCATTTCTTAGTAGCTCGATTTTGGCTAGTTGTATTTTGCGTAGTTGGTTAACCGATAATCGCCTACTAGTATAACCACATAGTTTTGGGGTTTGAGTAACGGATTGTTTGCTTGATGGATTTGGAGATGGATTTGATAGTGGATTTGAATCCATCATTTAAGACAAAACTACCCATCCTATTTAATTTCTCTTCTCATACCAATGAGGGCAAATGAGTAAATGTCACTTCATACATACAAATCTAATTAACCAATTCCATCATAAAATCTATGAAACGAACAATGGTATTATTCAAGTTCATAATGAACCTAAAACCCTCATATATCCATGGTTTTACAAAACTCAAGTTTTACCAAAACCTTCATTTTTCAAATCCACGAAGCAAACGACCCGTAAGAGGAAAAGTCTCAAGGTTCAAAACCAACCAAAGACTCCAAATATCCCAATTCATACCTATTGTAAACAACCGTAAGTTACCCCCCTCTCTGACTTCACTTTGAGTCAACCGAGCGAACCTCGTACACTATTCCTCTTTGTTTATTTGATGTTTGTGAACTATGATGATCTTGTGGTGCTTGTGTTTGTTGTCTTGCTAGTTGGTACTCATTATTTAGATGGAGACGTTTATTATCTGACCCATTACACCCTACTGGGGAAACAAAAAGATGGCCTTTTTAGCCACACCATAGGCTACCGTATTGTTCTGCCAGCCAACAAACTGAAATTCCACATCCGGACACAAGTCCACGAGTCGTCGGATATCCTCATATACGGCCCCTCCACTGCAATCTCCGGTTCTCCCAGCCACCACCTTGTCTATAATGACCATAGCATCGCCCACCACAAACACCTGATGATACTGAGCATCCACAAACATCTGGACCGCTTCCCACAAAGCTAGCAATTCCGCAAGCATCAGGGACACAATCCCATCAAACACCACACCATGGGCCCAAAGCACAGAACCAGCAACATCCTTGAACACACGACACCAAGTCGTGAACTTGTGGTTTCCAACACAATAGCAAGTCTTTAGATTTGGAATATACATAGTCGCGTCTCGCGACAAAGTATATGATCAATGGTTGAAACTTATCATTTCGATTGGATTACTGTTGTTTCGGTATTTGACCACAACTTAATGTCGGTGGTATAAAAGGCCTTTCACGACCAATACTGATTCACAATCTTACACTAGTTTGATAACCATGATGAGAAACGAGAGTTGTCTAGGGTTTATTTTATTATCATTTCTTTTGATAAAATTTTCTATCCGGACAATTTTACCCTTCCACCGTTTTATTTCGGCAGTGGCCAAAGTCAACCGTGTTTTTCCACAATCTTGACCCCGTCAAATTTCCTCCAATGGGTTGTTCAGCAAATTTACTTAGGCCCAATAGTTGGCCATATATGTACTGTTGCAGCCACAAGGTCCAGGCCTCTGTAAGATCTAGCTAACAAGATGTACGGCCCACAGCCTACTCTCCCCTCTTGGGAATGGCAATTAAACTCAAACCTCCGGTAGTTATGGCAATGGATAATGGGTCAGGGCGGGCGGGTACCTTAATACCTATGTTCCGTCCCATGCAACTAGTGGTCGGGGAGTGTAATACACGTGTGGGTATGGGGTGGGGCGACTCATTTTTACATGTTATTTGAAAAAAATACATGCAAAATTTTACTTTTTACGATAAAACGAACGACAAAAAACTTCATAAATGAATAATAGTGATAATATAATGGGTAATTGAGTCTATCTAGTTGAAAGATCAAGTTTAACTAGTTGAAGAAAAGTTGAAATAGGACATTATGAAGGGATGACGTAAGAAATTGACCTGGAAGGGGCCAAAAACGAGGGGGGGGGGGGGTCGGAAGTTGATACCCATGCCCCACCCCACACTAGTGCGGTAATACCCTCCCCATCGCGGTTCAGGTCGGGTAATACCCGGCGGGGCTAGTTCAAATGGCCATCCTGACCTAAGGGTATCCAATATGATCAAAGTGAGTAAAATCTAGTATGAATGAATTTTGAATCGGGTACAAGTGTTACCTGTTTTTTAAATTGATGAGTTGGGTCGGGTTTAGATTTTGTCAAAGTCCAACCCGCTTTCAACTCGATTCGTACCCTTCAAAAGAAAACGAAGCAATTTTTTATCTAACCAAAATAACATGAATAATTTATGAATGTTATTAGTTTTTATCGCAATATAAACCTAACAATATGGATAATATTCATGGATGTAAGTAGTCTTTATGGAGATATATTTGCATGTAAACTTTCGATCGATAACATTACGATGTGGGTGTTCATAAGCATAATATATGATTATGTTCGTGAACCCGTCAGTAATCGTTGAATTGAGTTTTCACTTTTAAAACTGTTTAGGCCTGGTTCGTACCAGGCGGTTTTGTGAGGCTTCACTGGCTTCGTGCGGCCCTTCGTAGGTGAGAGGCGGTCCTCGAAGTCCTGCAAGAAAGGTCCACAGGGGGTTTCCTGGGACCTCCTCCGATGCTAAAGTTAGAGAGAGAAGTGGATGTAGAGTAAATAAGAGAGAGAATGTAGTTGATAGGAGTTAACATAAATGTGGCCTCTCAATGGGTATTTATACTAGTCTCGGCTCGGCCGTGCGCATTTAATGCATTGTCGGGCAGTCTAGGGCGCCTCTGGCTTTGATAACGTCTTCCTGTCAGATTCTGTGTCGTGAAGCCAGAGTGTCGGGCGGTCTCATTGTATGGACCATGAGACCGCTCTCGTCCACTTTCTCTGTTTTGGGCCTTATTCGTTCTTACATGGGCTTTGGGCTCACGGGCTGCGTGTCTCCCTACTAGGCACAATAAAAACCAAAAGATATTTTGCCGTATTTTTTAATGAGTGCATCCAGTAAATTGTGTTAACCCGTCCCATTGTGATCCCTACTCAATAACAAACTGCATGTAAATTGAATTGCCTCCCACATTTTGTTTCCTTCCTTGCAGTTTCAGCCCATCAACTTTCCCCTCTCGATTTAATGAGCAAATCTATTCTCGAACAACAGTGTTATGCTTCTGCAAGCACTTCTGTACATAACTACATATACAGAGTTTGGCTGGGTTAGATAACAGTGAAGTCTTCATTTTATATCCAGAACGATGGAGATCGAGGACCACAATGGACGGCGACCTTTTTCATACTTAGCTGCATTTCGCAAAGAACGATCCGTTTGGCCAAAAAATCCCTTCCAACATGTTATCCCAAAATGCTCCTCCATCTCTTTCAGCCCTTGGGAAAAACACCACTCATGGCCACTACTTTACACTTTACAGTTTTACATGCCGTAATTTTGTCCCTCCATGTACAGATACAGATCCCATCCGATTGGTCAATCCACTCATCATTAAGGATGTACATAGGTCAGGTGGGTCGGTTTCGTTAAAATATAGTTATCCGACCTTTACATATCGGTTTCAAGGACACATAACATGAACTCGCACATTAAGTCATAACCCTATCGGTTTAATGTCGATTGAGTCGGGTTGGGTGGATAGGACATGATTCTGGGGATAAAGTTTGCAGTTGCCTATTGGTATAATGAAAAGGTAACTTTTAGGATTCTCGGGTTGGTTCAGATCAGAGGCTCAAACCGGTAACCAGCCAAAAAAATTAACGAGCCTCAATTTCAAGACGCACATTTGTGCATATGGCTCATCTTTGATCGGATTTCGGGTTGGATCAATTTGGGTGGCATGAGTGGGTCGGGTGTTGGGTCATTTTGTTCACCCCTACTCGTCACTATATATCCACAACATTTCACATCTGATAGGTCCAATAAACGAGATGGTGGTTTAGATTATATGGTCATTTTTCCTGTGACGGAGTTAGAAATGATGAATTTGTTTGTTTATTATCGGAAGAAAAAAAAAAGATGATCGTTGGTCGCAAAATTCAAACTTATTGAGTGATCAATTTTATTTATTATAAGGAATAAAAGTTATATATTTATGGCTACTCGTAGAATTTACAAATCTGAACCGCTTACTCTCATGAGTTGTCTATATTCATGAGATAAAGGTAGCATTAGACATATGTCCCAAGTTCATAATTTCAAGAACCACTTGAGCCCAATAATTCGAGTTTTTTGGGAAAGGTTCAATAATAGATCTTATATCGCATACTAACACGCCTCCTGAAACGAATGCCACTCATATAAGCTTGCATAAAGTTTGCACAAGCATCAGACACTATGTGCTTAACAATGAAGGTTACTAGTATTCGAACAGAAGGCATCTCGGTTACATAAGCTTTGATACCATATCAAGAGCCCGTTGATCCTAGTAGCTCGAGTTGTTGGAAGATATACAATAATAACACTCTTATCCTTTAGGAAAAAGAAGACGTTGGGTGGTTTACTTCTCTATTGGGTTGTTCCCATGTGCAAATGTGGTACATGGATGGATAAGAGTGATGAATTTGCCTATCTTCTTCATAATGATTTGTCGTGAGAAACAATTGATGATGTTGTTACTGATGTGAGATGATGACTGATGAGTACAATCCAACCCTCTCCGCACAAATCATTATCAACCTGTTTTTCCCAAAGCCTTATTACCATTAGGGCTTGTTTTGTCCAAAGCTTGGATCTTTTCACCATAACATACTCAAACCCATTTGAAAATTCGGATTTTCAACGTCGAAATGTATAGCCAAAAACAGGGGGGTTCCTTCCAAAACGTACGGCCACCACAAAAGAGGGAATTAGGTGGGGAAAAGACTCAAAACAGAGAACGAACGTGTCCCTGTGGAAGTCTTGTGTTGCAGCTAATTAATAAGAGGTGTAATTAACGAATTTTGATTGTGAAAACTGGGGGAGAAAATGACAGGAGAGGAGATTGAGCAAAGTCTATGAAGATTTGAGGTCTTAACCCACCAACACGTTTAATCATAAATAATAATTACCGACTCGGAGTTGAAACTAGTTGGTGCGTCGTCTTTTTATAAATGTAAATTATTTTGATTAGAGATTTCATTTTAATGCAGTGGTAAAACCCTTATATCATCTCAAGATGGTGAGTTTGATCCCTTGAATAAACGAATATGGGTAAATGTAATTTTATCACTAAAACTTACATGTGTACTGTGACAAATCCAAAATCATTTCCTTTTGCCTATGGCCATATATACATTATACATATAACAAGACTCGATCACACACATGTATATGAAATTACTCTGGTTGTATGAATTTTCAACAAATTTATAGATCGTTTGGCTGTGCAAATATGGAAACGTGGGAATTGGACCTAATTCCTATGTCATAGAAAACCTTGGAATTGCCAATTGAAAATTGAGTGAAATTCCATGTTTGGGATGGATTTAAGTATGTGGAAATAGATAGTGTTGGATTTGATTAAAATATCATTTTACCCCCTTCCTTGTTTAAAATGAAAGAGGGAAATTATGAAAAGGAAGAAGTTAGAAAGAAGAAGAGGGATAGACCTCGGTGAGAAAAAGGAAAAATGTGAATGTGAGAACATGGAGGTGGGTGTCGTAATTACAATTCCCACGTCTATGGAATTTGACACAAATTATCGCGATTGTATTTCCACGTTACTTTTGTGCAATCAAACCGGTTCCTTCACTCAATTACCACGTGTTGTGGGATTTAGACTTAATTCACGCACCAAAATTCAACATACAAACAACCCATTATTGAAGCCCACGATTCGGTAGTGTGTGGTTCTAATGGTCACCCTGAAAAATTTCTCGTAATAATTCTCTAATCATAAAGTACATCGTGTCGCATCCTCATGTTTTGATACTTACTCCAGTCATCCTTGATGGTTCGCTAGTCTTTCAAACTTTATCATCAGCAGACACAATTTTCTTCCATTGGTGAACAGTAACAATTAATTTATGGCATTAGTGATTAACTATGATCTTTGTCAAACCCTAAAGAGGAGAGGAGGGGGACCTTGAAATGCAATGATGTTGAAAGGCAGGCAATGAAAGTTGGGACTTGAATGCAACACCTAATCTAATAAATGACCAAAACCCACCACCACACAATTACAACAAACAAAGTCACTTTCTGAAGCCAAACTGGCACCCAACTTTTTGGCTGGATGGCTTCCCCAGCTCCATTTTCTGCACTTGTAGGCATGGAAGGTTATCATCACATCATGGTCTTAATCACAAGGGTGCAACGTTAGGTAACAAGTTCGTGGAGCGGGTGCGAGAGCAAGAGCGTGAACGTGGCTTGCTTTAAAAATAATACAATATGAGAGAGGGTCTCCTGTGAAAGAAAATTTACTGTCATGTTACAAGTAAAACAGAACAACACCATAAGTAACTTCATTCTTTGTAAACGCTACTTCATACTTGAACTGAACTTTGAACGAGAGCATCGCTTTCATCATGTAAGGAAAAGTCTTTTTTCTTCTTCCTTCTTCAACTTGTTGCATGTCAAAGTTTATCACATCATCTTCAACATAAGAATCTAAATCCTTGTATTAAACTTGATTACAAAACATTATCATTAGTGACAAAAATTAACGAGGCCGGTGAAATTTATCACTAAAACTTACTGCGGCTAACAAAATTTTAAAGACAAAAATTTCCGTTGCTAAGCTCATTATTTGGAAGGAAAACTTGGCGCCATCATTATTTGTGACGAAAAAATGTTGCCTTCGATAATGATTAGACAAGTAATTATGTAGTTGTGACCAAATCTATACCTCGTTAGTTAAAGCAAAAAACTTAATCATGAAATCTTATTCAACCGGTAGTACAGATTAGACTTTTCTCACTTGTTTCCTCCAAAAAAAAATTTAACGGGTACGAGGCAATGAATTTGTCCTGGTCATCGCCATACCCTACTTGATCATCAAAATCATGCATTGGCCCATGGATATTAAATTTCTTGAAGCTGTTTGTTCTTCTCTCCCCTGGCTATCACATGCTTCTTTTTATTTTTACCTTCCCAGCAACAATGAACGAATATGATAGCATCTCTTTAGATGATGGTGGTGATGATTTATTAATGAAAAGAAACCAGAAACTGCCTGCCCATCTCCCTATTCTCTATGATTAAGTTTCCTTCATCTTTGGAGCCAGCAGTGAACTTAAAGCGAAATTCGATAGCTGATCTTATACTGCTCTGGGAAAGGCTGACAGTTGATCTCTGTTAATGGTGGAAGTTGCTACAAACCTGACTGCAATTTCCAGATCTAGAATGACAAGTTGCAGCTCTTGAACATGCTTGATTCCGCTGATTAACAACGACTAGGAGTCTTTCTCTTCCCCCTTCTAACTGATGCTTTTATGTCCTACACTGCTATTTCCTCACAAAGTAGCTCTCTTTCTATCAATCTACAGGACAACAGGAGTTTCCTGTTTCCCATTTCCAGATTTAGAGCTTCCTTTCTTGGGGAGGAAATGGCATATACGGGTAGGAACTTTGTCCTGGAAAGTTACTGCTTTTCCAGCTTGCACAATGAATCAATCTATAGTGGTTGATCATTGCACCTCTCTCTTTTTCTCTCTAAAAAAGTCGAAATAATGATGTTTCTGGTTTTCATGACAAGGGGCAACGAACCATTAGA